CATGAGGCCCCGGCTCACCCAGACAACTTCTTCCAAAACTGGCGGGTGGACCGCACCAATCTCCGAGGCCAGCAGGGAACCCTTTGCACCACCTGAGGCTACTTTGGCTTCTCCGGACCAGCGCGAAACCCTCACTTAGACACGCCCGTCCCATTTGGTGTGGCTTCGCCCTCAGCTGACTTGATAACCACACTGTGCAATGTTCTGTGAAGTTTGGGAAATAAAGATTTTTTCATTGTTACTGGGCAAGACTGTTCCCACTCGGCACGGCCCCCGTCTGACCTGGTCACCTCGCGGTGGCGGCCTCACTCCCTGGTCACTCCGTGGCGGACCCCATGCCCCTGCTTACTTCTGTGGGGGACGGCCCGCAAACCCCAGCTCACCGCATAGGGACGGTCCCATGCTGCGGCTCACCCACCTGACATCCAACAAATAATGCGGGGGGTCCTGAGGGGCGCGGGGGACGGGCCGGAAGCTGAGGAGACGCGCGGGGGACGGGGCCCGAGGCTGAGGAGACGCGCGGGGGACGGGCCGGAAGCTGAGGAGACGCGCGGGGGACGGGGCCCGAGGCTGAGGAGACGCGCGGGGGACGGGGCCCGAGGCTGAGGAGACGCGCGGGGGACGGGCCCCGAGGCTGAGGAGACGCGCGGGGGACTGGCCGGAAGCTGAGGAGACGCGCGGGGGACTGGCCGGAAGCTGAGGAGACGCGCGGGGGACGGGGCCCCGAGGCTGAGGAGACGCGCGGGGGACGGGCCGTGAAGCTGAGGAGACGCGTGTGGGACGGGCCCCGAAGCTGAGGAGATGCGCGGGGGACGGCCCCGAAGCCGCTGCGGAAGGAGGACGTGAACGCCTGTGGCTGGGACACAGCATCTCCCGACGCCAGCCTCGTGGGGGCCGGGACAGCACCCGGGGGCCGACGCCCACGCTCAGCGCCCGAGAGGGACGCCCACGAGCAGCGCCACATGCCCGGAGCTGCTCCCAGCGCCCACGACGGGGCCCGGTGGTACCGAGGGCTGTGAACAAGCTTCACCTGTGGGGACCGGGACGCTTTCACCCCACATGGGAGCTTTGGGCTCCAGCAAACACATTTGCGCCCCACAGCGTTTGCGCCGCTGGCAACCCGGCCCCTCCCCTGACCCCAGGGCTCGGCAGAGTCGGAGCCTGCACCGCAAGGCTTATCCCATGGATTTCCCGTCAGGGAAAACCACAGCAGCGGTCAGGGGGAGGGAGGGGAGAAGCCAGGACCCTCTTCCTCCAGGGCTCGTTCCCTCTCTGGCCTGAAGACGTTCAACCTCGGCTCCTACGGGGGGCTGGTCCTGGGTCCCCCTCCCCGCAGCCCCGCAGGCTCTGACAGTCTCTGGGCACCTGTGCCCTGCGGGGCCTGGTGGGCTCAGTGCCAGCCCAGGAGCCTTCTCTGCGGCCTCCACTTTATGAGATGGGTGGTGAAGCGCCAGCCTTTCCGAGCTGGGGTGCCTGGGTGCTCTGCCCGCCCCATGAGTTCAGAGCCCACCTCTCACGGCCCGGACCTGGCCAGTTGCTGGGTTTCTGTGTGACTTCCCTGTTACGGCCAGGGGAGGGCCTGGAGGCTGAGCCCCCACGCGGGACTCACCAGGGGCAGGCACTGGGCCAGGATCCCGGTGCGGGGCGTGCAGCGGAAGGGGCTGTCCTCCCTCAGCTGGATGCAGCACTGGCTGCTACACTCCTGGTGGCTGCTGCAGAAGTTGCCGTTGGGCTGGGGAGGCAGCCAGGCAGTGGTCGTGGAGAGGGGCCATCTCCTGCTACCCCTGCTCCATCCGCCCCAGGTGCCCGCAGCTCACCTTGCGCCAGGGCACACACTGCAGGAAGATGGTTTGGGATGTGCAGAACTCCTGCGGGCTCTTGTTGTTGCGGACGCAGCAGCTGCTCTGGCACTCTGAGTTGTCTGAGCATCTGTACCCGTTGGGCTATGGGACAGGAGACGCCTCATCCCTGCACCCACCATCCACTCCCTGGCTCTTCCGGGGCAGTGGGAGGGGGCCATAAGCAGTTTCGCTCCTCTGCCCCCCACCCCCCGCATGCACCTCACCTTCTTCCAGGGCAGGCACTGCAGGAGGATGGTCTTAGGGGTGCAGAGCGTGTGTGGGTCCAGGCTGTTGGTGGTACAGCAGTTGCTCTGGCACTCCTCATGGCTCCTGCATGGCTCCCCGATGACCTGAAATGCCACTCACCAGCTCGCTCACCTGTTCCTGGGCAGGGCCTGCAGACCCAGTACTCAGGAAGGGCCTCCCGTCTCTCTGGCTCCTCCGTGTCATCATCCTTCAAACTTGGGTTCCCTGAGAAGTTTCTGGAACAAACCCAGACTGCCGTGGCTCTGGCAGGTCAGTGCTGGGGGCCCAGGGCTGAGAAAGGGAATGTCTACCGTGAGCCATGTGGAAGAGGGTAAACCAAGGCACTGAGGGCAAGGATGCAGCAGCAGAGCATGGGCGAAGCTCTCGGGCCGGCCCAGTGCCTGGCATTTCACAGGAGAAGAAACAAGCTCAGGAAGGGCGAGCACAGCGCCCGGGATCACACAGCCAGCAGAGGCGAGCTGACAGCCAGGCGCGCCCCCCCGTGCCAAGGCTTGTAGCCACCCCCCACCCACACACACAGAAGGCACCACCGTGTGTGCGACCTCTGGTCTTGCTTGCTCAGAGTGTTGTGGATGAGGCTATGTCTACTGATGTTACTGCATTCGACCCTAAAACTGAGAGATTTTTAAGATAACAATAGGAATCCCATTGCCTGTTAACATAAATAACAACTTTATTAAAAGTGGGTATATTTTCTGGCCAGGCGCAATGGCTCATGCCTGTAATCTGAGCACTTTGGGAGGCCGAGGCCAGTGGATCACCTGAGGTCAGGAGTTCAAGAACAGCCTGATCAACATGGTGAAACCCCATCTCTACTAAAAATACAAAATTTAGCCAGGCGTGGTGGCGGGAGCCTGTAAGCCGAGCTACTCAGGAGGCGGACGCAGGAGAATCACCTGAACTGGGAAGGTGGAGGTTTCAGTGAGTTGAGATCGCACCACTGCACTCCAGCCTGGGCAACAGGGTGAGGCTTCATCACACACACACACACAAATTTAAAAAGTAATAAAAAAGAAAAATGGGTATATTTTAAAAAACAGAAGTGTGCACCAGTGCAGCTCCCACGCGGCCCTGCTCCTTCCTGCCTGGTTGACCGCGGCCGTAGTGGCCCCAGTGCTGCTCCTGGTGCTAGGGTCACCATCCCATAGCCTCAAATGTGCTTAGGCAGCACAGCCGGGGGTGTGGCCAGGAGAGTGAGTGTGGCCTCCGGGAGGGTTTCATCCAGGAAGACGCTTTGTGTCGCTTTGAGAGCCTCTTTTTTTTTTTTCGAGACAGAGTCTTGCTCTGTTGCCCAGGCTGGAGTGCTGTGGCCAGATCTCAGCTCACTGCAAGCTCCGCCTCCTGGGTTCACACCATTCTCTTGCCTCAGCCTCCGGAGCAGCTGGGATTACAGGCGCCCACCACACACCCGGCTAGTTTTTGTATTTTTAGTAGAGACGGGGTTTCACCGTGTTAGCCAGGATGATCTCGATCTCCTGACCTCGTGATCCGCCCGCCTCGGCCTCCCAAAGTGCTGGGGTTGCAGGCGTGAGCCACCGCGCCCGGCCTTGAGAGCCTCTTGACGGAAGGTGGCAGCCCCTGCGGGCAGGTGGCAGCCCCTGCAGGGGCATCAGGGGCCGCTGGCACCCACCTTATGGGACAGGTTCATCTGCTGCTTCTGCAGCCCATACCCCACCAAGGACACCAGCAGCAGCAGTAGCAGCATCGTCCACCCTGGGCCAGCCATTGGGCACGTGGACCTGCAGAGACCCAGGATTGTGCTGCTTGGTGCCTAGCACTGGCATCCCCACTCCCTTCCCTCTCCTTTCTCTTGCAAGACAGACTTTAAAAAACATAATGGACTTTATTTTCTACAGCAGTTTTAGGTTTACAGAAAAAGTGCGGACAATATAATTCTCATATGTCACCCTCTTTCCCCTGCCTCAGTTTCCCTTATTATAATGCTGCAGTCGTGTGACGCATCTGTCACCACTGATAGACCCACAGGGACGCGCCGTCATCACCTGACATCCACAGCTCACACGAGGTCGCTTGGTGTGTGCCTGCTGCGGGTTTGGGTGAGTGCGTTCTCACGGAATCACCGTTTCAGTATCCTGCAGAGCGGATACTGAATGCCCTAAAAACCCACTGTACCCTCCCCAGCTGCTGGCAGCCACTGAGCTTTTCACTGTCTCCTTGGTTTTGCCTTTTCCGGAATCCTGTTTGGATGGAATCGGTCTTAGCCTTCTCGGGTCGGCTTATTTCACTGAGTAAAGTGCAATTTAAGGTTCCTCTGTGGCTTTTCGTGGCATAAAGACCCATTTCTTTTTAGCACTGCATGGAAAATGGATTTAACACATCAAGGCAAAACGTGAAAAATGGATTTTGAAGAACCCTTTTCCCAGCGGACGATGGTGCCCCTGATGAATTTGAACGTGAGCACCTGCTGTGAGCGTGAGCAGGAGCCTCAGCCTGGGGTCCCTCCTGGAGGGGCCCTTGCTGCCCAGCCGCGCAGCAGTGCGGGCATCAGATGAGGCAGTGGCATCGCCCTGCGTGTGTTTGGTGGCCCAGCCATGCTCACTGTGAGCCCCATGCCCGGACGGCGCCGCCCCCGCCACAGCGACCGGCCCAGGACAGGGTGGACGGCAGGAACCCTTCCTTGGGACTTTTCCAGCAGGGCCCAGACCGGAGACGTCATTAGGAGAGTCTCTCTTTTCCTCCCGGGTTCCAAAGCCATACGGGAAAACCCAGTAGGCTCCACAAATCGTGAGAAGTGACTGGAGAGTCCAGACCAAGATCAACATAAAATTCAAAACGATTTCTCCATGATGGCCATAAATAACCAGAAAATAGAAAACGAACACCACTCACGCTAACAAGATAAACCATTCGTTATGTAAGATGAAGGGCAAATATGAAGTCCACACAAAGAAAGTCCACCCTCGGCCTCCCCCTCGGCTCCCTCACCCCATGCTGTGAGATCACTGATCACTCATGGCTGCGCTGGGGCTGGGCAGGGTCTCTCTGTCTCTGTCTCTCCCTGTCTCTCTGTCTCTGTCTCTGTCTGCCTCTGTCTCTCTGTCTCTGTCTCTCTCTGTCTCTCCCTCTCTTTTTGTCTCTCTGTCTCTGTCCCTCTCTCTGTCTCTTTCTGTCTCTGTCTGTCTCTCCCTCTGTCTTTCTGTCTCTCTCTGTCTCTCCCTCTCTCTCCCTCTCTCTGTCTCTCTGTGTCTGTCTCTCTCTGTCTCTATCTCTCCCTCTCTCTCCCTCTCTCTGTCTCTTTATGTCTCTCCCTCTCTGTCTCTCCCTCTCTGTCTCTCCCTCTCTCTGTCTCTGTCTTTCCCGCTCTCTGTTTCTGTCTTTCTCATCTCTGTCTCTCCCTCTCTGTGTCTCTCTCTGTCTCTCCCTCTCTCTGTCTCTGTCTCTTGAATCCCCTTGATTATTATTTTTCTTAAATTCCTCATGTCTCACGTGCATTCAGGGGAAAGGTGGAGCTCTGGCCACAGCCTATAGCCGCCTGCTGGGGAAGCCACAGCAGGTCAGGACTCGGTCAGTGACCCCACTTCCAACTCAAGACCAGTCAGAGGAACCCAAATATGGATGCCCACCTCCCCCATCCCCATCGCAGGGGCAGCCCAGCCCCAGCAGTGTCCTCCGCACATGAGCAGTCCCTGCACCCACACCTCTGCCTGCAGCTGGGCAGCCTCCCTGCTCCCAGCACTCCCTCCTGTCTTCCCTGCCACTGTGTCAGCATCACAAAGTCAGGAACTGATTTTGCCTCCCTCACAGGAAGTAAAAGGTCAAAGGTCTCAGATGCCCCTCTCACCTGATCCTGGAGCCCCGATCCCAGACAAATGAGTCATGTCAACACTTTCCAAGATGAATGGCCACATCCCCAGCCATCGGGCAAGCTTAGTAAGCCGTGTTTCCGGTCATATCCAGCCTATTCAATATAACTTTGTTTAGAGACAGGGCCTTGCTCTGTTGCCCAGGCTGGAGTGCAGCGGAACAATCGCAGCTTGCTGCAGCCTCAACCTCCTGGGCTCGAGTGATCCTCCCAACTCAGCCTCTGAGTAGCTGGAATGACAGGTGTGAGCCACTGTGCCCGTTCTAAATATAATTTTTAATGTAACTACATAAAAGCTAAATTGAATCACAACTATAACTTTTTTTTTTTTGAGATGGAGTCTCGCTCTGTCACCCAGGCTGGAGTGCAGTGGCGCGATTTCAGCTCACTGCAAACTCCGCCTCCTGGGTTCACGTCATTCTCCTGCCTCAGCCTCCCGAGTAGCTGGGACCACAGGCACCTGCCACCATGCCCGGCTAATTTTTTTTTGTTTTTAGTAGAGACGGGGTTTCACTGTGTTAGCCAGGTTGGTCTTGATCTCCTGACCTCGTGATTCACCTGTCTCAGCCTCCCAAAGTGTTGGGATTACAGGTGTGAGCCACTGCGCCCGGCCTATAACTTTTTTAAATTTGAAGTTTACAGTATCTTTCCTGTACTTGGAACCAGGAAAAACATTTTTCTGGTCTCAAACCTTTTCACAGGCCCTTGCAAAGTTCACAGCCCTCGTTTCCAAATGGAGCACGATGTGCCCGACAGATCAAAGGGCCCTGCTCAGCCCAGGAACAGGCAGCTGCCTGTGCTGGGAAAGTCCAGTGTCTAAAAGGTCACAGGGCACACCGTTTGCAGCAGCGTTTTTCACGACGGCCAGAGGGTGGACGAATGTATTACGTAACCCCTGCCCCGAATGTGGTATGTATGTGCAATGGGACGTCAGTGGCCCTGGAAATGGAAGGCAGCTCGGACCCGGAGGCCACACAGTCACCCTGAGGACCTGATGCTGAGGGAATGAGCCCCTCACAGAAGTTCAGATACCGTTTGAGCCCATGTGTGAGGTCCCCAGGGTCGTCAAACCCACAGAGACAGGCAGTGCAATGGTGGTGCCCGGGGCGGGTGGGGTGCCCGGGGCGGGTGGGGTGGATGTTGGTGTTTAATGGGGTCGGTTGACATTTGGGAAGATATAAAGCTCTGCAGATGGATGGTAGTGGCAGCTACACAGCAACGTCAGCCTGCTTCATGCCACTGAACTGTGCACTTAACAATCATTAACATGGCCTGGGTGCGGTGGCTCATGCCTCTAATCCCAGCACTTCGGGAGGCCAAGGCTGGCAGTCACCTGAGGTCGGGAGTTCAAAACCAGCCTGACCAACATGGTGAAACCCGTCTCTACTAAAAACACAAAATTAGCCGGGTATGGTGGCTCATCCCTGTAGTCCCAGCTACTTAGGAGGCCGAGGCAGGAGAATTGCTTGAACACTGGAGGCAGAGGTTGCAGTGAGCTGAGATCGTGCCACTGCACTCCAGCCTGGGCAACAGAGTGAGACTCCATCTCAAAAAAAAAAAATTGTTAAAATGATCAACTTTATGTTAAATGCATTTTATCACAATAAAAGCAAAGGTCACAGGCCGACCTCATGAGTGCCCTGGAGGTGCTGTTACCCCTGGGATGGAAGCTCATTCTTTTCTTTTCTTTTTTTTGAGACAGAGTCTGGCGCTGTCGCCCAGGCTGGAGTGCAGTGGCACGATCTCAGCTCACTTGTAGCTCCGCCTCCCGGGTTCACCCCATTCTCCTGCCTCAGCCTCCTGAGTAGCTGGGACTACAGGCGCCTGCCAAAGTGCTCGGCTAATTTTTTGTGTTTTTAGTAGAAATGGGATTTCACCGTGTTAGCCAGGATGGTCTCCATCTCCTCACCTTGTAATTCGCCCGCCTCAGCCTCCCAAAGTGCTGGGATTACAGGAGTGAGCCACCGCGCCTGGCCGGAAGCTCATGATTTTCAAATGTTCTATATACATGGGGGTCTCTATTCCCGGATAGTTGCTTAAAAATCTCTTGGGGCTGGGCGCGGTGGCTCAAGCCTGTAATCCCAGCACTTTGGGAGGCCGAGACGGGCGGATCACGAGGTCAGGAGATCGAGACCATCCTGGCTAACACGGTGAAATCCCGTCTCTACTAAAAATACAAGAAAATTAGCCGGGCGAGGTGGTGGGGGCCTGTAGTCCCAGCTACTCGGGAGGCTGAGGCAGGAGAATGGCGTGAACCCAGGGGGGCGGAGCTTGCAGTGAGCCGAGATCACGCCACTGCACTCCAGCCTGGGGCACAGAGCAAGACTCCGTCTCAAAAAAAAAAAAAAAATCTCTTGGATCAGACACTTCTTCAGTTTTTCTTATAATTATCAATATCTAGTTTGTTTCCATAGTAGTTCAATCTGCTAAGTAAAAAGCTTGATGCTAAATCTTGTCAAAGACATTACAGATCCCCATAAATCATCTGGGAAACCACAGCTTTCATGTTTTGAGCATAAGCTCCTGGGGCTGGTGCTATAACCCCTGTCCCGACTCTTCTGAGTTTCAAGGGCCCAGGAGGGCCGGGCTGGGCACCCAGCAGGTGGAGTCATCCCCACAGGGCACCCCGACCAAGGGCAGAGCTGGCTCCGCTGCAGGGTCGATCCTGGGCTCTGGGTCGTGCACGTGTCCTGTTGACACCCAGAGGACAGGACGTGCGAGTGACTCGTGAGATTGGGCCTCCCTTGCTGAAAACTTCCCTGGTGGCTGACAGCTGCTTGGACATGCAGCGGCCCTACCTTTTTCCGTCAGGCCCCAGCGGCCCCTCTGTGTAGAGGTGAGACAGGCCAGGCTGCAGCTTCTCGATGAGACGCCCCAAAGCAGAGAAGTACCCAGAGCAGGGACCTGGCAGCCCAGCAGCACCCTGGGCACAATCGCAGCCCTGCCTCTTCCTTCTCCTTCTTGTTCCCTCCTTTGGTCCCAGGAGGAAGACGCTCATCTCCCCGCATGAGAGGCTGAGTGTAGGCGTCTGGACAGGGGCCAGTCCCACACGGCTACTGACTCCAGACCACAAAGAAGCTGGAAGCCGCAGCTCCACCTCTGCAGCCAATTGCTGGGACAGTCAGGGCTTGATTTCTCTGTGTTCTGCCCCCACTTCCAACTCAGGACCAACCAGAGGACGCCAAACATGTCCTCTCACCAACCACCGGACACCTCACTCTCCATCAGCCGCCCCTGCCTTCCCCACAACACCACCACCACCCTAATCTGCGGACCTGTGCCCCGCCCCCTGCCTGCCGATCTCAGAGTGGGGCGCTCCCAAGCTCTGAACTCAGAGCCTGGCCTTGCTCTCGTCTGGGTGGTCTTTATTTATCTCTACATTCATCTGCTTAGGCAGTAAATATGTAATGGGCTGTTTACTCGTTATTTATTTGTGATCGACCATGTGCCAGGCGCCGTGGCAGGCTCGGCGGGGGAGGAGGCTGTGCCCTGGTGTCAACTTGGCGCTCTCCGTCCAGTGTGAGAGCTGGGCCTGGCAACAAACACACTGTGCAGAGTGTGGTGGGTGTCGTTAGGGGCACAACGGAGGTGCCATGGGGACAACGGAGGTGCCAGGGGGACAACAGAGGTGCCAGGGGCACAACAGAGGTGCCAGGGGGACAGCGGAGGTGCCAGGGGGACAACGGAGGTGCCAGGGGGACAACGGAGGTGCCAAGGGGACAACGTGCAGCAGGATGTCAGGGAGGCTTCCCAGAGACACCAGCACGACACCTGCTGCCAGGAGCCTGGTCCAGTGGGGATGGGAAAGCAGGAGAGCATCAAGCACGGGGAGGAGGGGTGGGCACAGCCCAGTGTCTGGGGAGCGGAGGCAGGGAAGGTGGAGAGGGCAGGGACAGCCCAGGGGGACACTAGAGAGGGCGGGGAGGTGCCAGCCCTGGAGCTCCAGTGCCAGTCATGCTGCCCTTTTGAATGCTGAGGCCATTAAAGGGGTCTCGGGTGAGAACCACAGGTAGGATTTGGAAGCTCCTGGGTGCGTGGTGGCGTCTGTAATGGGCAGGGAGAGGCTGGAAGTGAGAGGACCCACGCCATAGTGTGCATGCCCAGCCAGAAGGGAAAGGAGGCTGAGGCAGGGCTGGGGGGACGAGGAGCAGAGAGAGAGGCAGGAAAGAGCAGTGAGGATGCTGAGGGGTATGAATATGGGGAGTCAGGGTAGGGATTCAGAGTGAGCCCTGGCCTCTGGCAACAGGAACGAGGGGTACATGTACCCAGTCTAATGCAGCACCTCCACTGTTGACCACCAGAAAACAAAGCACCCAAAACTCAGTAGCCCAAAAACATGACTTGTGATGGTTGCTCTGTCTGTGGGTTGACTGTGCTCAGCTGGGCGGTTCTCACACGTGTTGCTCAGGCATCAGCTTTCAGGTAGCAGCTAGGCTGCCGAAAATTATCTGAAGACTCAACAGGGCTGTGTCCAAGATGGCTCCTTCACTCCTGCATCTGGCATCTGGAGGGACTGATGGGCTGGGAGCCCATCAACTCTTGTCCTCTTCACATGGCCCCCATGTGGCTTACAGAGGCTTCCTTACAACACGATGGCCCCAGGGTAGCTAGTGCCTTCCCCAGAGCAAGAGCCCCAGGAGGATCTGCAAGGCTGCTTCTGACCTACCCAGAAGTCACACAGCATCACCTCTACTGCATTCTATTGGCCAAAAGTGAGACCCAGAGACTGCTCAGGATCCATGTGGGAGGAAATAAATGGAGAACTACCTAAGCCAGGGCTGTGTGCCTGAGTTGTCAGTGGAAGCCAAAGAGTCAGCAAACATCCTCACCCAGGGGAAGCATGTAGGGTGGGAGGCAAAGTGAGGCAGGGAAGGATGGGGAGGGGAGGGCAGGGGAGCAAGCTTTTTGGAGTGATGAAAATATCCTAAATTTACATCATGGTGGAGTTTGCACAATCCTGCAATTATACTAATAACAATGAAGATACACTTTAAATGGGTGAATTGTATATGTGAATTATATCTCAGATATGCTATAAAATTTTTTAGAGAGAAAGGCTTTAAACAAATGAAAATAAATCTGTTAGTGTATAGAAAATGTCCAGAACAGGCAAATCCATAGAAACAGAAAGTAGATTAGTGGGAAACAACCTAAATGTCCGTTGATGGATGAATGATGGATAAAGCATGGTGTGTCCAGGCAACATAATACTGTTCAGCCTTAAAAAAGAAGAGACTGCTGCCATATGCAACAACATGGGTGCCCCTTGAGGGCAGTATGCTGTGAAACAGGCCGGGCACAGAAACACAAATGCTGCATGATTCCACTTGCATGAAGAATCTAAAATAATTAAAAGTGGCCAGGCGTGGTGGCTCACACCTGTCATTCCAACACTTTGGGAGGCCAGAGAGGGTGGATCATTTGAGTCCAGGAGTTCAAGACATGGGAAACCCTGTCTCTACAAAACATACAAAAATAAGAAATTAGCTGGGTGTGGTGGTGCATGCCTATAGTCCCAGCCACTCGGGAGACTGAGGTGGAAGGATTGCCTGAAACCAGGAAGCGGAGGTTGCAGTGAGCCAAGATGGTACCATTGCTCTCTAGTCTAGGTGACAGAGTGAGACTCTGTCTCAAAAAAAAAAAAAAAAAGAAAGAAAGAAAGAAAGAAAATATAACTGATTTTTATATATTTATATTGTATCCTGAAACCTCTCTGAACTTAATAGTTCTAACAGTTTCCCGTGGATTCCTTAGGGTTTTCCTTATACAATATCATCTCATCTGCATATAGAGATGATCTTCTTTTGCAGGTTTTCTCAATTTGTCACCTACTTGTTATAACTAGAATTTCAAAAATATTGAATAGAAGTGGCAAGAGAGGACACTTTTGTCTTACTCCTGAGTGCAGGGAAAAAGCATTTATTCTCTTCACCATTCCAAATTATGTCAACCAGACCAGGTGGAGTGGCTCACACCTGTAATCCCAGCAGCGACCAAGAGCCCTCTTTTAAGAGCCTTTAAGAAAGGTCATGCTGGCTAGGCGTGGTGGCTCAGGCCTGTAATCCCAGCACTTTGGGAAGCCGAAGTGGGTGGATCACCTGAGGTCTGGAGTTCGAGACCAGCTTGACCAACATGGAGAAACCCTGTCTCTACTGAAAATACAAGATTATCCGGGCATAGTGGTGCATACCTGTAATCCCAGCTACTTGGTTGGCTGAGGCAGGAGAATAGCTTGAACCTGGGAGGTGGAGGTTGCGGTGAGCCGAGATCACACCATTTTACTCCACCCTGGGCAACAAGAGCGAAACTCTGCCTCAAAAAAAAAAAAAAAAAATTATGTCAACTGGGCACAGTGGCTCACACCTATAATCCCAGCAGCACTTTGGGAAAGCAAGGTGGGAGGATCGCTTGAGCCCAGGAGTTCAGGACCAGCGTGGGTAACATAGGGAGATAAATAAATAATTAGCCAGACACAGTGTCTGATGCCTGTAGTCTCAGCTACTCAGGAGACTGAGGCAAGAGTATCGCTTGAGCCCAGAAGGTGGAAGTGGCAGTGAGCCAAGATCGCACCACCGCACTCCAGCCTGGGTGACAGAGTCAAATACTATCTCAAAAAAAAAAAAAAAAAAGAATTATGTTGTCACTTGAGCACAGAGGCTCATGCCTGTAATCCCAGAACTTTTGGAGGCCAAGGTGAGATCACTTGAGCCCAGGAGTTCGAGACCAGGCTGATGGACAACACAATGAGACCCATCTCCATGAAACATTTAAAAAGTAGCCTAGCACGGTGGCTTGTGCCTGTGGTCCCAACTACTCAGGAGGATGAGGTGGGAGGATCACTGGAGCCCTGGAGGTCAAGGCTGCAGTGAGCTAGGATTGCACCACTGCACTCCAGCCTGGGCAACAGAGAGAGATCCTATCTCAAAAATTATGAAAAAAAATGATGTTGTCAAACTCATAGAAGTGGAGGGTAGAATGAGGGTTGCCAGAGGCTGCAGAGAGGGTGAAAGAGAGTTGCTCCTGAACAGGTATAAAGTTTCAGTTTCCGTTATGCAAAATGAGTATGTTCTAGGTCTGCTATACAACATCACACTTGTAGTTAACAATACTGTATTGTTCAATTAAAATTTTGTTAAAAGGGTGGATCTCATGTTAAATGCTTTATTACAATAAAAAATAAATTTTAGGAAGAAAGTTGTTAACTGGGATTTTTTTGCAGATATCCTTTAACAGGTTGAGGAAGTTCCTTTCTGTTCCTAATTTGCTAAGTGTTTTTGAAGGGGTGTTGGGTTTTGTCAAATGCTTTTCCTGCATCTATTGAGATGATCATGTGGGTTTTGCCTTTTATTTTATTCCTATGGTGTATGATGTGATTAATTGGGGATATTAAACCAACCTTCATTCTTGGGATAAATCCTACTTGGATATGGTGTGTAATCCTTTTTATGTTGCTGAATTTGGTTTGCAAATATTGCGTTGAGAATTTGTGCATCTGTAAGTGATATTGGTCTATATTTTTCTTATTTTTCTTTTTTTTTTTTTGAGACGGAGTCTCGCTGTGTCGCCCAGGCTGGAGTGCAGTGGCGCGATCTCGGCTCACTGCAAGCTCCGCCTCCCGGGTTCACGCCATTCTC